GGAAAGAAAGAAAGAAAAGAAAGATGCTCCCAGTAAGTATTTAGAGTTTATAACTTAATTATTCATGCATTCAAAAACTGTATATTGAGTACCTATTGTCACTTTAAATATGGTGGATTAAGCACTAAGGGTCTATCCCAAATTTTGAGCATCACCGTAAGGATGAGTTGGTGCTGTGGGACTTGAGTGGTTCACAGTCATTAGCCAGTAATTGTCCCAGGTAGAGGTAAGAATGCTCTGGTTCTTCCTGATTTGAGGGGTCCTTTGATCAAGGCTTGTGCCTTCCGGTTGAATGTTCTTACCCACCCTCTGACCTCCATTCTGTATTTTCGTACAGGAACAAGATTGGGAGAGTGAAAGTGAGGCAGAGGGGGAGAGCTGGTACCCCACTAACATGGAGGAGCTGGTGACGGTGGACGAGGTGGGGGAAGAAGAAGATTTTATCATGGAACCAGACATCCCAGAGCTGGAAGAAATCATGCCCATTGAGCAGAAAGACAAAATCAGCCCAGAAACATGTCCGTGTGTGACAACCACCTTAGAGCTGGCCAAAGATTTCCCCAAGGAGGGAGTCAAGGCTGTAGGGAGTGGGGCTGCAGAAATCAGCCTCAAGTCACCCGGAGAACTGCCCTCTGCTTCCACAAGCTGTCCCAGTGCCATGGACATGGAAATGCCTGGCCTAAATCTGGATGCTGAGCGGAAGCCAGCTGAGAGTGAGACAGGCCTCTCCCTGGAGGATTCAGATTGCTACGAGAAGGAGGCAAAGGGAGTGGAGAGCTCAGATGTTCATCCAGCTCCTACGGTCCAGCAAATGTCTTCCCCTAAGCCAGCAGACGAGAGGGCCCGGCAGTCAAGCCCATTTGTCGATGATTGCAAGACCAGGGGGACCCCTGAAGATGAGGCTTGTGAAGACAGCCCCTTGGAGGAGAAAGCCAGCCCCCCCACTGAAACCGACCTCCAAAGCCAAGCTTGCCAAGGAGTGTTGACCCCGGGTAACTACCTCCCCTTTCCTCATGGGTGGTCGGGTTGATTGGACCCCTGCTCACCTGATGAAGTCGGGGGCATGTGCAGGCTGGAATGAACATAAGTAAGGTTTCAACTAGCATTCAAGCGGGTGCAGAAAGTGATTGAGCAACAGAGGCGAGCCTCTAAAAGCCTGGCTAAACTGTGAGAGATTTTAGGCAAGTGGTGTAAAGGAAGTCAGATAGGAGGCTGCATGTTTTCTGAGAAGCAAACTCAGGGCAGACTGCTCTGCGTTTACAGGAGCCCAGATGGACTGGGACAGCTAAAATTAGCTTGAGTTATCAGCAAAAGGAGATCAGGAGGAGCCTCTCGTGCCTGCACAGCAGAGGACCACCCAGGCTGTTATTTCTGTGATGGGGGCAGGAGTGTGGAGTCAAGAAAGGAGTGGATGGAGAAGGAACAGGGATCCCTAAAGGGCACAGCGGTTCCGCTTCTTACTACCTCACACTCATTTTTTGCTAGGATCTGGTGGTGATACAGGACTTGTTTCAGAATCTTCTCTGACTCCATTGAAGGTGATGTTTTGTGCCTATGCCCGGCACTGTGACATCATGAAAGAGAGAGTTTAAAATAGGCTAAGCCCTGTCTTCTCTGCCAAGTCGAACCTAAGATCCGTCAAGGGGCAGCGGGGGAGGGAGGGATAGTAGCCTTTAAGATTCTCTCTGTGAAAATAATTACAGATTCGCTTTACAGAAAGCCTGCAGCACACCAGAGGTTGAAGTGAGGGTCGGGGGCAGAAAATACAGAGGAAAGTCTTAAAAATGAACACTTCAACCCAGAGCCCTGTGGGCGGCATGAGCTGTTAGGTAACTGGGAGGCTTGGGGTTTTTTCCATGTCAAGCTGACCTGAGCTGTTTTTTTACCTGCATGGATCTGAGTCTCCATGGAAACCCTGCCATGAAATGCCTTCTGGTTGCCAGAGAAACCTGAGGCCCAGGCTCTGTCTAGGGAAGGCAAGAAAAAAGGAGCAGTGAAATCTTCGCCTCACTCCGACTGAACCTCTTTTATTTTGCAGTATAGACTTAACATGTGGCAGTGTTAGAGGCTCATCAGCTGAGCCAGGGTTTGGGGTTCATACTTAATAACAGCTTGACAAACTTGGGGGGAGAATGGCATTGCCCGTTTTTCTCACCTCGGTGGATGTCAGCACAATTTTTGCCCATCAGTAATTCTTCTGCCTGCAGAGATGGAATGATACTGAGCTGGGAGGCATGGGGGGGTGGATCTTCCCAACTGAAGGCAGCAGTAGCCCATGCCCCCGGGCCAAATGCAAAGATTTGCCAAGCTTTATTGTGTGTGGCATTCTTTTGGCAGTGGAAAAAGCTCTTAATGACAGTGCTTTGGTTCTAATTAGCAGCTACTGTCCCAGCCTTATGTGATTTAGCAGTCCAAGGGACAATCCCCAATCATACTTTGCAGGATAGAATTTCAGGGATTCTTTGAGACATGTTGTATTTCATTTTATTTTATTTTTTGTCTTGGCTCATGTTTTGCAGAAAACTCCAGGTACATGGAAGTGAAATCTCTGGAGGTGAGGTCACCAGAGTACAGTGAAGTGGAACTGAAACAGCCCCTTTCTTTGCCCTCCTGGGAACCAGAGGATGTGTTCAGTGAACTTAGCATTCCTCTAGGTAAGCAAAACACACAGCCCTTCCTGAAATTTGGATCTAGGAAATAACAGTTCCATAGCAACCTTTAAGAGCTTGAGAGGGTTTTTTGTCATTTTGTTGTCATTGTTTTTTGTTCTTTTGAGACAAGGTCTCACTCTGTCACCCAGGCTGTAGTGCAGTGGCATGATCTCAGCTCACTGTAGCCTCAAATTCCTATGCTCAAGTGATCCTCCCATCTCAGCCTCCTGAGTAGCTGAGACCACAGGTGCACACCACCATGGCCCGGCTGATTAAAAAAAATATTTTTTTTGTAGAGATGGGGTTTCCATATGCGGCCCAGGCTGGTCTTCAACTCCTGGGCTTAAGCGATCCTCTTGCCTCAGCTTCCCAAAGTGCTGGGATTACAGGCATGAGCCAGTGCACCTGGCCTATTGTTATTTCAAATGTATGATGCAATAACCTAGATTTGCAAGGGGTGGCTGTAAAGTTTCTTGCAATTTCAGTCTTCCATAGTAGACCAGATACTCCATGAAAATAGGCCTTGAGTAGCACTGCCTGGGGACCCAGAGCTGAGAGGGCCTGTTTTTCCTGTTGGGGAATGCTTTATTTTTGATGACACCAAGCTTTAAGCCTAGCCCTTATTCAGGCAGAAAAGCAGATGCCCAGCAGCCTCCATAAAATCAACAGAAACACGCCTTTTCTGCTACTGTTCATTGCTCCAGCCCTTCCCAGAACAATGCTACATTTTTTTCCTCTTTAAAGGACCAACTTTTCTGAGGCAATGATGCTGAATACACTGTGTTTGGGGCAGACTCCCCTAGTTTGTAGAAGGAGTATTGAACAGACACCTGGGTTTCTGTCCTTTCTACTTGTGGATGACTGTGTGCCCTCAGATAAGTCATACCCCTTCTTGAGCCTTAGTTTCCTTACCTGTAATTTGGACAGTGATTTCTTCAATGGTGGAAGTATTGGGAATGAAGAGGGGAGGGAGTTTACTAATGGAATCACCTAGGAATGAATCTCTTTTCAAAGAGGAGAGTTAAGCAGAGTTTCAGGGTAGGGAATGAAGGTAATTTAAGAAAATTCCCTGGGAGATTCTGACACAACCATTAACCCAGCAACTCCAGCCTACATCACCTTCGAGTCTTTGCATTAGCTCTGAAAGGTCAGAAAGTAATTAGATAAAGTAGTAGTAGCAGCTACTCAGAAAGACAGCTGGAGAAAGTGTCACCTGGGAGAGTGTCACACAGAAGCATGAGAAGCAGGGGTCATCTGATGACAGATGACCACGTGTCTGGTCATTCAGGGAGGGCTGGTTGGTGTGGAGGTTCATCCTTTCCATCCGAGTTGCTCTTTTTCTCCCTTCTCCTTTAAAAAAAAAAAGTCTTACTATTGCTTTCCTCCAGGTGTACCATTTTCATAGAGTCAGATCTGGAGAACAAACTTTCTTGCTTTCTTTTTTTTTTTTTTAAAGGGATAAATTTGCTGCACAGCATCCCCTAAGACAAAAATGTAAGAAAGAAGGAAAAAGAAATACCAACCTTAGAATACACTGAGATGACCCTGAGTATTTTAGCTCTATAAAGGAGTTGCAAAGGCCACCCTGCAAGAGAAGAGAGGGCTCCTTCATGTACTCAGTCAGCCAGCAAATACTTACTGGATAACGTGGTACTGTGCTAGACACTCTGGGGTAACCAAGAAATATAACGCAAGTCTCTTGTCATCCAAGAACTTGGAACCTAACTGACGCTAGCAAAAATTAAGACTAAATTCCACTACCTTGTGATTTGTGTCTTTTTATTACTGTTTTTCATTATAGAAAGTGTGAAAGATTATTGTAACAAATTCAAAAAATAAGAACCATATCAAGTCAATATTAAAGGCTTGATCTCTTCCCTCCAGTCTCTTTCCACCCTCCAAAGGTAACCTACACTGTCATGCCCAAAGTTTTTCTCTCACAAAAATAGGATCACACTACACACATAATGTTCTGCCAGTGGCTTTTTTCACTTAGTAGCAAGTCCTAGAGATCTCTTCATGTCAGTACATGGAGAACACATTCTTTTTAACATCTGCAAATATTGCATAGTAAAAGCTATGCTATAAATGACTGATCCTTTCCTCTGCTGGTGAACACTTTGGCTGTCTGCTCTTTTTTCCATGATAATAGCTAAGCTTTTATTAACATTATCTGTGCAGGTACCATTTTTAGTGATCTGCATGTATTATCACATTTAACCCTCTCAAAACACCTATGAGGTAGGTAGGTGCTGTTTTTATCCTTATTTTACAGATAAAAAACCTGAGATGCCGTCACACAGCTAATGACTGGCAAAGACCAGAGTGAGGTTCAAACCCCAGTCACCTGACTCTGGAGCCATGTTCTTAGCTTCTGTTCTCTGCTGCCTTTCAGATGTGCTTGTTCAGTGGCATGTGTGTGCCAGTGTTCCTGTAGGATAGCGTCCTAGCCAGGAGGTTGTAGGGTCATATGTATTTGCATTTTAAATGTTCATAATTGCTACTAAATTGCACTCCAGAAAGATGACCTCAGTTTTCACAACTTGGAAATTGCACTCCAAAAAGATATTCGTTTTCACAACAGTTTTCGCAACCTTGAGTGAGAGTTCCTAATATCCACCTCCTGTTGGATTTTATCAGTTTTTAGTCTTTCCCAACCAGTTAGGAGGAAAATAGTATCTTGCCTTTTTAAAATTGGCACCATTGAGGTATAATTGATATATAGTAAGGGTATATATTTAAAGTACACAGTTTGATCAGTTTTGACATATAAATATACCTGTGAGGCCATCACCACTATCAAGACTGGCAACAATGTTCATCATCCCAAATTTCCTGTCTCCTATGTAGCCTCTCCCTCCCCACACTGCAATCCCCAGGTAAAGGATCTCCTTTCTGTCACTAAATATTAGTTTGCATTTTCCGGAGTTTTATATAAAGGGTATCATATTGTATGTGCTGGTCTGGCTTGGCTTTTTTCACTCAACATCATTGAGATTCATCTCTACTGCTGGGTGTATCAGTAGTCCGTTTCTTTTTATTGTTGAGGAGTATTGCATTGCATCTATGGATATAGCACATTCTGTTTGTTCATTCATCTGTTGACAGATATTTGGGTTGTTTTCAGTTCGGGGCTTTTAGAGATCATACTTGTTTTTAGTCTCAGTTAGCTTTGAGACTCATTATCTCATTGGTCCCTTGGGGAGGAGTATCATATGAGGTTCTGCATTTGACAGATGAGGAAACCGAAGTCCACAGACTTACCCAAGATGACATAGCAAATGCAGGTTAGAACTCAGGATTTCTCAGCCTGGGCAACATAGGGAGACCCTGTCTCTGCAAAAAATAAAATAAAATAAAAACTAGCTATGAGCACTGGTACACATCTGCAGTCCCAGCTACTCCGTCCCAGCTTTACTAGGATGACAGAGTATCATTACCCATGTCATGAGCTATTATTAGAAGCCAAAAAAGCTCGTAGTTGGATACGAAAAAAAAAAAAAAGAAGCCAAATGCAACATAGCAAGACCCTCGTCTCTACAAAAAGTAAAATAAAATAAAAACTAGCCAGGAGTGGTGGTACCTAGCTGCTGTCCCAGCTCCTCAGGAGGTTGAGGTGGGAGGATTTCTTGAGCCTGGAAGGAGATCCAGATCTTGAGCCTGGGAGGAGAGGCAGCGGGCCATGATTGTGCCACTGCACTCCAGCGTGGGCTAGAGAGAGACCCTATCTCAAAAAAAGGAAAAAAAGAAAGTAAAAAAAGAAACAGGTATAAAAGAAAAAGAAAAGGTAAAAAAAAAAAAAAAAAGAACTCAGGAGTTGTGATCTCAAATCCCTCTGTTCTCTGGGTTCTTCCAGTTCAGGCCTCAGCACAGTGTAGAAAAGGCAATTTTTGTGCAGAAAGTAAGAGCACAGACTATGAAATCTGATTCTCTGAGTTTAAATCCCCTGTCTACTACTTGCTGGCTGGATGACAAAGAGCAACTCAGTTAACCTCTGTGCTTGGATTTCTTCATCTGTGAATCAGCCACAGTAATAGAAGCCTACTATGCAGAGTTATTTTGAGGATGAAGAGAACAAATACTGGTAAGGTCTTAGTGGCTTCCAGTAGGAGGTACTTAATAAGGGTTATCTATTGTTATTATTCACTCATGAAATATTTATTAAGACCTATTATGGCTCCTCTCACTGGGGCTGCATAACCCTTTACCCTCCAGGACTGGTCGCTTCTGGCATGGAGACTTCTAGGGAGGTGAGAGACAATTTTTAGGCTTTGTCCCTGTGGAAAGCATAGAGTTGAAATAAGGAATGTCAAGGACTGGGCTCCCAGTTGGGAGGAAAGGAGGCCAGTCCGGTTGCTCAGGGACCAGGGGTGGGCATGGCTGGGAAGGACACTGCTCTCGAGATCTGGGCCAGCTCTGCCTGACCCTGGCCAGTGCCAGCCTGCCAAGGCCTGCTCTTAGAACCAAACAGCATTCCCTGCAAAGCACAAGCTCCCCCCTTTACCCGTTCCAGCTTTACTAGGATGACAGAGTTATAATTACCCGTGCCATGAGCTATTATTAGAAGCCAAGTGCAGCTGGAAAATTGAGGACTGAGCGGCTCCAGAACACATCAGGGCAGGGGCCGTGTGTGCTGCCTCCTCATGTTCCCCTCACACTCCAGAAGTGTCCTGAGCTGTGCTGTGGGATTTGTGTTGCCTGCAGCAACCCCCAGTTATTCTGGAACAAGTTTCCAGCTGTTGGAGTTTCTCCCCACCCAGGTTTCTCTTCCCCTAGTGCTGCCTCGCGGCTGCCTGGTACTGCCCAAACCCGTGGGGCAGGGGCCAGGGGAGAAAGCTACCACCAAACAGTGGAGCCAGGATCCCCAGGTGGCCCCAGGGAGAGGTTGGGGTTCAGGTGAGAAGGCCAACACTTAGGCAGTTATTCAAGCTTCTGTGATGAAATATTTAACATGTGTCTCCAAACCAGTATTTTTTAAGCACCAGGCCAAAGTAACAGGTGCTTCTCCTAAGCCTCATCTGTGGCATTATTGCCCCTATTACACAGTTGAGGACACTAATCTCGGAGAGGGTAACTGTGCCTGAGGTCACAAAGCAGAAGGAAAAGAGCTGGGTTTGACTCTCTACATGACACTGTGGCTTCCAAGGTTGTTTTTCTTTTTCTTTCTTTCTTTCTTTTTTTTTTTTTTTTGGCGTCTTTGTCCAAATGAAATCTCTCCCAGAACCTGCAAAGGATGGCTGTAGCTACCCTGCTGGGAGCTTGGGCTACTAGCTTAATCCCTGCTTCAGGCTCTGTGGTGGCTCCTAGGGCAGCTGTGCCCCTTCTGGGGGTCCCCACACAGGGACTCAGAGGACTCAATAGGAGGCTTAGTGAAAACCTCAAGGCTTCTTTCCTGGTACCATCCGGCTGGCTCCTCCTTTAAGGGCTGGGATGAGACTGAGAGTGTGGCTCTGATCAAAGCCCTCCTTCTTTCCCAGTTGCCCCTTTCCTGGATTGCGGGGAGTTTTGGCTCTCTGCAGAGCAGAAGCAAAGGGAAAACTATTTTGTAGCAACGGAAGAAGGAGCAGGCCTTGCTGAATGCACCTCTGCCAGCACCAACAGCCAGGAGTCAGGACCTGTGTGTGAGGTGGAGGGGAGAACCGGCCCCCCACAGGCCAAGCTGGGGCCACTTTTCCATCCTTGGCAGAGAGGAAAGGAAGGATGCTCAACCTCCCACCGGGCACCTGGGCCTGAGTGAGGCCCCCTCACTTCTTGGACCACTGTTGAGGGCATGGCATGCAGCCTGCGACGTGGCGGTTAGAGAAAGCCAGGCTGAGGGGGACTCCCCAGGCCCCGGCTGCAGCGCCACTGTCAGTCCCAGCAGGCCTCCTGGCCTCCCTCCTTCCCTCCCTTTCCCTCCTTCAGAGCTACCCTTCACACTGATAAGTGGCTATTTTGAAATGGAAAAAGAGTTCTAATGACAAGTCTAGGCTGCTTCCCTGTGACAGGGTGTCCTAAACACTTAGCTCAGTGTCCTGGGAGGCAGGAGGAGGAAAGTGAAGCAACCCAAGCAGCTGGGCTTGCAGGCGGCCACGCTGTACCTTGCAGTGGGCGCTGTCAGAAGTAGGGACCTCCCCTGTCCCCATCCCTGCAAGAAGTTACTGTTCCCCTGCCTGTGCCATTCCCAGGCCCCTTCCTCCCTTCTACCCAGGGTGGCCAGACCTCAACCCATCGCCCAGCCCCAGCAGAGGAGAAGGTTCTCCCCCAGCCTGCAAGTGGGATTGCGTGTTCCAAGCATCACCCCTCTTTCTTAGTTCCCTGATGGGTCCTCACGGCCCTCACACCCCTGCCCTTTGGCTGGAACTGTAGTCAGGTGTCTGGTAAACAGGGCATGTATTCCTGCCTCCATTCTCAGGTGAGGAAACTGAGCCCCAGGAACAGTTTGGCTGACTGTCCCCAGGTCACATGGGTTCTTAGTGTCTGGCCCGGACCCTCTCAGAGCTGGGCTCTTTCCACTCTGCTGACTGACCATGTCTTCAAGAGGAGAACTGTGACCTGCAAAACACCTTGGTGGAGGCTGGAGCTGCCACCATCCCTTCAAGGATGAGTCCCCTGGCTGTGACATTGCCACTCTGCGGTGGCGACGCCATTGTTTCCTTTGCTTGGAATCAAAAGGCCTCCCAGAATTCTGGGACTTACATTCAATAAATGACAAATGAAATGCTAATTGATGGTTCAGATGTAAAGAGTGGAGGAAGTGAGAAAATGTCAATGATAGACAATTACATGAAGACAAGAGGACAGAATTGTAATCAGGGTATAACTGAAACGGCCCCCACAAAGAGGCCCACGTACAGGTTAATCATGTGGAGGAGAACATTTGGACTGGAGTGACTCTGGGGGATTTTTTTCCTTCCTTTTATTTACTTTTTTTTTTTTTTCTGTAAAGAACATAATTCTAAAATAAACCAACAAAAATGAGAGAATTCTTCCAGAGTCCTGGTCACAGCAGCTGCAAGAGAGGTAGGGTGTGGAGAAATGAAATCCAACAAGTGAAATAACAGAAATGTCAGAAATCACCTAACAGAAATGTCAGAAATCACCTTCATTGTTCTCTTCTTGGAAGGAGGCTGTCAGTAGGAGAACCTGGACCTAGATCCCCCCAGGATAGCTGCAGGCCGTGGAGCGGCTGAGTGCTTACCACGCTGCCGAGTCCATCCCTTACGTTCAAGAACACCTGAGAGTGACGTGGGTGTGAGTTTCTTTGTGACTGTTTTGCAGATGAGGAAACTGAGGCATGGAAAAGCTCGGTAACCAGCCAAGGTCAACAGCAAGTGAGGGTGGAGCTCGTGGCTCCCGTTTCCACCTGATGGCTGCCAGGACACAGGCACCTGCCTCTCACGCCTTCTTAACCCTGCCTGTCTCGCCCCCATCCTTCCCCAGGGGTGGAGTTCGTGGTTCCCAGGACTGGGTTTTATTGCAAGCTGTGTGGGCTGTTCTACACGAGTGAGGAGACAGCGAAGATAAGCCACTGCCGCAGCGCTGTCCACTATAGGAACTTACAGGTAACTGTCCACCCTTCTTGCCCAGCACGCCAGGGGCTCCCCAGTCTCCATAACTGAGCCAGGTGTCTGGGGTCCTTGGCCTTGCTTGCCTCTGAGTCTAGCTCCACCTGCAAGGCCTACTCCAGGCCACAGGTTACTTGCCATTCCCCAAGCACACCAAACTGATTTCTGCTTCTGTGAGTTTCTGCTCCTTCCACTACGCGGAGACCTCCTTATCTTCCCATAGAGTTGATTGCATCAAGCTGCCCTCTACATGGTGGCTGCCTTCCCCGTGCTCCTAGCGCATGTCTAAACATCCTGTTTGGGTTTGGCTCTGGCAATAGCCACCTCTCCCTCTATACTGTGAGTAACAAGTTAGGCCAGTGTTCACCTGGCCCGTGACTGGGGCTGACCCCTCCCCACAAGACTCAGATGTTCCAGTTGCAGATATTTCTGTGTTTCTGTTCCCCTATGCAGCTATCCCTTCTTGCTAGAATAAAACCACTGCTTTGTTCTTTTTAGCTGTTCATCTGTACAGCAAATACTTATCACAGGCACGCTAGGTACCAGATGCTATTCTAGGTACCAGGAATACTATATCAACAACAGTAAAGTGGACAAAATCCCTGTTCTCATGGAGTTTTCATTCTAATGTAGGTAACAAGCAATAAATAAAATAAATGGTATAGTATGTTCAAAAGCAACATATAAAAAAATACTCTATGCACCATATTTTACCCAGTCTAAGGTGCCATCATTTGTAAGACACCACTGTTTTTTGGTACCAACTAGAAAAAAAAAAATGTTGCAAATGAAGGGATGAGACTTCATCAACTATGAAATGCATTTTTATGTTAGAGATATTAATGTGTGAAAAAAATGTGCCTTAAGATCAAGGAACTATCGTCATGTGTTCTATAATATATAATATATTAGAATGTGGTTTTCGTGATTAGCTCCTGGCATGGGTTAGGTTTTGGTAGCTTAAAAGAAGACCTGGTATATCAGATGGCGAGGGATAAGTATCTCAAGACACCTCCTGTTTTGACTACAAGGAATCAGACTAGTTATCTGAACCCCAAGGCTTTGAATCAAGAAGTCCTCACAGTGGCTGTGCCCAAGTCCCAGGCCAGGCGTTACTATGATCATTAAATTGTTTTAAAGTGACTGATCTAGCCGTTCTTAACCAGGGACATGGAGCAGACTCGTCTGGACAATATTTCTAATGTACAGGTACTAAGTTGGGTATTTAGTAGAATTTGGGGGTGGAAGGCAGGTTGCAAGAATGTGTAATTTGAGGACGTTCACCAAAAGATTCAAATGTGCACCCTTAGTTTAAAAAAAAACAAACTCAGATATGGGCCAACTTTGTTTAATAATTGAGAAAGCTGAGGCCCAGAGAAGCTATGTGATTCATCCAAGGCCACGCAGATAGTGAGTTACTGCGCCTAGGATCAGATCGCCTGATTTGGAATAACTTTTCCTCTTTTTACTCTACTATACTCGTCTTGGAAACTGAGACCCATAATGTCAAGGCCTGGGTCACCATCTGCAGGGGACTATCATAGACTGGGCCCAAACTCAGGTCATTGAAGCCTCTTGATTTCCCTCCAGAGGGCAGCTGCTCTGTGATTGAGGCAGCCACAGGGCCTGTGGCCCAAGGCTAGGCCTCTCCTGGGACAAGGCAAGAAAGGCGTGACTCAGCCAGAGCAGGAGGGTCGATCAGACTGGGTCCCACAGAGCCAGCTGAGGGAAGTCATCTAGCTTGAAGATACAATCATCCCTTTTCCCAACAAGATGAAACCTACAGAATGGCAGGGCTGGAAGGGGTCTTGGAAATCATCTGGTCCTGATTTTCCCAAACCTTAGTCCTTGGACCAGCTGGCATCTTTTTGAAATGCAGCTTCCTGGATCTCATCCTACACTTGTTTACTCATTTTCCCTAGGGCTGGGCTGAGAGTCTGCATTGTAAACCATCTTCATATCAGACCCTGATCCGTCGGTGGGAGAACCCTTTCTCTCCTCCAGCATTTGCAGTAGGATTGTGCAGCCCTTCAGGAGACCACACAGCTCAAGGTCACTTTGGAAGTTAGGGAGAGTTCAGGCTTGCCAGGGCCTCTAATTCTAATTCATGTATGTTTTCCAGGGCAGTGGACTGCACTGTGTTCTGAGCCTCTGGGCCACACGCCCAGGCAGACTCCCCTCCCCGAAGCTCGCCAGAGCCTTCCTGTGGTTCTCAGGTGCATTGGGGCAGACATTGGCTAAGCCCCTCGTGCCAGCCGACTGCAGTGCAGCTTTACCTGGTGCACCTGCTGGGGAGCTGGGCGTTTCCACCACAGGCTTCCCAGATAGGATTTCTGTCACACATCAAGCTAGATGATTTCCCTCAGCTGGCTCTGTGGGACCCAGTCTGACCCTCCAAGTCATGCCTTTCTTGTCTTGCCCCACACAGCCTCATCCACCTCACCCCAAGCAGCAGGTGATGGCTGACACTTAAATCAGACAACTTTGAAACTTAGCACCACTGAGAGGCCTTGAGCTGGGGACCGGGGATTGCTCCTAAAGCAGGGAGCAGGTTGAAGGAGGCTCCATTCAGTCTGCGCAACCTGTGCTGTGCCCCATTGCCGGTCATGGCTCTGCAAGAACCCATCCAGAGTGATTCAGATCAACAGGTGGCATCAGCACTCGATGGGAAAACTAGATACCTGCTTGGCTCCCGGCCCTGGAGTGGAATGTGTACACTCATTCACTTGCCTTCCTCAGCACACGGTTTACCCTCCCTGAGCCAAGGCAGGGGAGAACCCCGGTCCTCTATCAGCAGCTTCGCCTGCTGCCGTCCACGGTTTGCTCCTCTTCCAGTCAGGCCACGCCCATTTCTGGAAGCCAATTGCAGTCTCTTCTATGGAGAGAGAGGCAGACCTGGTCATCTCAAGTAGCCGCTCTCATCCGACCCTCCAAACCATCCCAGAAGCGGGGAGAGTGAGGATGACACTGTTCCTATCATTTAACAGATTAGGAGTCTGAGGCTTGGAGGAGAGGTGTGACTTTCCCCAACTCATATGGCTGGCGCTGCTAATAAGAAAAGCCAACATTACTGCGTGTTTATTCTGTGTCAGATGCTGTGCTGAGTGCCTTGTGTCGCCTCTCTTCAGCTCTGCAGCAACCTTATGTGATAGTTACTGTTTTTCTCCTCCCTTCACAGATGTCAGAGATACTTGACAACTTGCTTGCTGAGGGCTAGGATATGAACCCAGGTCATCTGACTACAGAGTGCACACACTTCTGACTCCTAATGCACCCTCTGACTCCTAAGGCAGTGCTCTTTGCCTTTTCCTTGCTGCCCTGATAGTCAGAGGACCCCAGTTGGGGCCTCAAACCTGTCCTTGTTCTGTCTCAGTGTTTTGACCAAGAGCGGCCCGACCTGGTTCATTGTCTTAGGCTGAGGCCAGTCATAGCAGTGAGAGTTCTGGGGTCCTGCAGAGGCAGCCCTCAACATTAGAACAGACAGGCCCATTTTTAAATCCATCAAAAGACCTCCCCGGCTCCCCACCCGATAGCCTGCCCTGACAGGAACCAGGTTGTTAAGAGTCTTAAATGTCAGGCCCTGGTCCTGTCTTGCACAATCGCTATAGGCCAGCGCTCATTTACCCCGCCTTCCTGCTTCCTTCCCTCTGCCTCTTATGCATAGATAGCTGCCTAGAGCTTGGGCTGTTTCTGGAAAACAGAGTTGTTTTGGGGTTAAATGAGCTTATGTAAGTCAAGCAGTTAGAACAGCACTTGACACCAGATAAGGGCTTTGGAAGTGTTTGCTATTATATCTGTACTTTCTACGTGTCCTACAGGAGAGGAGTATCACTTGTACACTAACCTAATGAGGTACTTAGCATAGGTTCCATCACCCCAGGGGGATCTGTGAACCAGGAAGAGGGTAGCCCCCACAGCTGGGCACAGATGCCAGGAGAGGGATGTTTGAGGCATGTCCCCTCCTCTCCTCTTCTTCTTGGTCCCTACTAATGTGTCCCTTCCTCCACTTCCCCTCTTCTTTCCACAGAAATATTTGTCCCAGCTGGCTGAGGAGGGCCTTAAGGAGACAGAGGGGGCAGGTAGTCCGAGGCCAGAGGACAGTGGAATCGTGCCACGCTTTGAAAGGAAAAAGCTCTGATGCTTCTGCCTCTGCTGCTGCCACGCGAAGGTGTGAGAGGAGAGCTTGCCAAGTGGGGCCCTCCTGATCCCGGTGACAGGACTAAGGCCTGAGAGGAAGGAAAACCAAGCAGGGCATGTTGCTTGGGTTTGTTCCCAGAGACTCTGTGAAATGCCCCTGAAACGTCTCCAGGAGCCAAGTCACCCAGGCGTGTCCAGCGCGCTGAGGGTCACCAGCTCGCTCCCTGTTAACTCTTGTTTCTCTCAAACAATCATTCAGTTTGTTTTTCTTTCTTCTCCTCTTGTTCCCTCCCCCCACTCTCCTTATGTGCCAAGGATCATTTTCTTTTCACAAAATCCAACTTCTCAGGGATTTTCACTGTGTTAAAATTCTTGATGGGATATAACAGGTCAGGCCTGGCTGAGTCACGCAAGGAAAAGGTTTAATGGAAACTCCTGGGTCAGGCGAACCCCTGCAGTGAGTCTGCAGCAGTGTCTCTGCCTGGTGTCCCTTGTATCCTGTGCACTGGGGAGCCGAGTCGGGTCTGCAGTCCCAGTGAGGGGACATTACAGACAATCTGTTGGCAGAAGCTGGGAGTGGCTTCATTAACCTCTTCCTCCAGCTGGGCCCCCCTTTTGAAAAGCCCCCTGTTTTTAATAATTCTTTCATCCTCTCAGTTGTTCCAGAAGTCTGCCAGACTTATGCCTTAAAGTAAAATTAAATGAATTTTAGAGAAGATGAAAAAAGCCCTTCATTTTGGAAGCTCCGATAAGTTTCTTCCAAACTTACTTCCCTCCTCTTGATTTCAGGAGATGTCAGAGTTTGTTCTATTCTGGACAATGGATTTGGTACAGATTCACTGTAATTAAAAATAAAAATGGAAGCGTCTTCTTCCTCCAGCTAAAACAGCAGTTGGCGTGGGCTTAGGTTGAACGCTGGCCTCTCCGCAATGCATGGCATTGGCGTGAGACACAGTTACAAGGAAATATCATCTGTCCTTGACTCAGCCTTGGTGCCTGCACTCTGGGGTACATCCACCTCACAGTCGGGTGGTTTTTAAATAGCCCCTCAGTCAGGGGAGAAGCTAAGGAAAGAGAAGGCTGCAGAGCCAAAGAGTGGCATTAAGGTTTGCTGGGCGTCTGTAGATGGGCCCTTTGCAGCTGGGCAGATGCTTGAGGGCTCCTTGGGCTGGACCAAATGTTCAGAGTTTGATACCAAAGTGTTACGAAGAGTCCTGATTCCCACTGCTCTTTCTGGTACTGGAGGGTCGGTGCCTGTAGGATGTGGGGTCTCTAGCTTGGTATTCTAATGAAAGGGTGTGGGATAGAGGTGCTGGGGCAAATGAGGCTCTGCTAAAGCCAGAGAGAGGCCCTCGGGCAGTTAGAAAGGGAGCCCGGAGCTGTTTTCATGAGCTGAGACACTCTCCTGAAAGCACCGTCCACGGCTTAGCCCAGGAAAAATAAAACAAGGAAGACAGGTCACTCTCCCCTAGGCAGTTCCTGCTGTTTCTGTTCCTGACCTTGGGCAGGCAGACTGAGAAGGGATTGTGTAGGGTTTGGGTTTTTTTTTTTTTTTCATTTCCCTTTTTATGGCATGTGAGAGTGTACTGCACATTCTGTCCTCTGTACTCATGGAAGAAGGGCAGAGAGATTAGTTCAAGGCTGACATTTTATATCAGGCAACTGAGGCACACAAAGGGAACAAATGCAGAGCCTAAAACAATCGGAGTAAACCTGACAGCATGCAGTCATTGGCCAGGGACAGACTCCTGGGAGCCAGTGAGAGCAAACAGTGAAGGCAAGCTCCAGGGGAAAAGCAGACCAGCAAGAACAGGTGTGATGCGGAGAGGTCGGAACAAGCGAGAAACCTGAACTCGTCATCATCATCAGGCTATTAAATACAATTCAGAGGAGGCCGTTGGTTTGGACTGAGCCCCCCTGCACTCGGCCCACCAGACCAAAACAAAAGCAAGTCACTCATGTTAAAGTTCTGCCTTCCAAGAAATCAGGAGAGAGAGAGACAGAATAGCCAAATCCCCAAACAGGCCAGTTTTAACCAGCATGATGAAGATGTGTCCTTGGTTTTAACCTTTACAAGGAAGGGAACTTTGAGACGTCCAGTCTGGTGTTTCTTTGTGTCTGCTTTCCTCAGCCCTTTTCTGTCTATAAAGCCAACCTCCTCCGCTCAGCTCATGGGAACACTTTCTATTTTATAGAGTGATGTGTTGCCCAGTTCTAGAATCAAAAATAAAAGCCAACTAAGATCTTTAAATTTGTTGTAATTTTATCTTTTGACAAGACCATATGGGGGCTGCTGAAAAGTTGGTATCTCAAATAAAGTCTGAAGACCATGGCTCAGCCCAGCTTGTTCCCTGGCCAACTCCACGAATTTGAACCTGGCATTCTGGACATCAGCTATGCCTCCTCCATTTCTCAGAAAACCTTTGCTCCTGTGTGTCTTTCTTCCCACTGGAGGGAATTCTAGGGGCAGTTCTTTGTCCTTTTTGCTGAACTTTGCTAGAAAAAGCCCACATCTTCCATCAGAGGCTAGAACTGCACGTTATTAGAGAGACTGGACGCTTTATCCCCTAGCAAAGTGGGAGCATACTTCACCAGCTCATTCCCTGCGCCTCCCCGCCTTCCCCAACCCCCCATCCCCAGCAGCATTTTCATGGAAATCCAGATGGTCATGTAATGTTATGGCTTCCTTGTTGATAGACTGATCTTCATGCTGGAAAGCTAGGGAAAGCCCTTGGGAGGGAGAGAGACGAGGCACTATCTGCATTCAATCAGAACCTTCAGTCTAAAATCATCGAAAAGTCTATACTTGTGTGTACATATGTATTTATTTTTATTTATTTTTATACAATTCCATTGGCATGGTCCTTCACCGACCCTATGATTTGCACTTTTTATTCCTATGTGTGCCACACACAATGCACTATTAAAGGCAACCAGGAAAATATTGATTTATTTTTTAAAGCTTTTCTTCAGTGTTTTGTCAACCATTTCAAAGTATCTCCCAGAAAACAATGCTGAAGAGCAATTGCCACCTTGAGCAACAGATTCATATTTACCCCGGGGTTAATATAACAAAAATATAACCCCTGTATAATTTTCTTTTCATTGCTAACACCCAAAATACCATCTATCTAGACAGTATTCCCAAATGATTTGGAAAATTCAATGGTGTGAGCAGAAGCCGTTGGTGTATCAGGGTTTCCCATTCTTGGACAGTCCAGGGCTGTGACCTGTTAGGTAATTAGATTATACTTGAACTGGACCAGAGTTTGTTTTTTGAATTTATGAGAAAAACAAAAACACTAAGTTAATTTAAGTTTGAACTTGTAAAGTATTGAAATTTGTTGAGTGTCCTATTAATTGTCACTACTTTTCCTGATCTGTGTAACTGACTGCAAAGTGTTTGTTTTTACAAAAGAGATAAAAAAGATTTTTAATAAAGAGAATTTGAAAGCTGTGAGTGAGTGACTGCGTGTCATACAGGGCCCCCTGACATTTGGCTGGGGAAGGCTCACCAAGCAGAAAGGTTGAGATTTGGTCCCTTTGAATGGCGAATATTTTCAAGGATTGAACAGAGAGGACAAAACAGGTTTTCTTACGGCTCCTGTTAGGCTGCTAGAGAGAATCAGAGATTCTCAGGGGTGATCCTTGGGGGATGAGTCTAAGTGGGGGCTGCTGTCCTTTTGGAGGCTCAGACATGAACACTTTTTGGCCTCTTATAAACCCTTGGCTTTGCTACCCAGTGCTCCCTGGTCTTGTGGTGACTGAACCCAGTTGTCCTGCACCAGGGTTAGGCCGTTTCTGGCAGTTCTGACCGCTGTGAAGACCTGGTGGTCAGTGCTGCAGTGGAAACATCAGGCTCGGCGGAGGCCCGGCCCTGCCCCTGTTACCCTGTGACTTCCTAGGGCCCACTTCCTTGGGTGTAAAGGGGATAACAATATTAACCACCTCCCTTGGGTGTAAAAGTGGATAACAATATTAATCGCCCCCAGGGTTGTTTGAGGGTTAAGATCATTGCTGGCGAAAGCACTTGGTGTGCTGCGAGGCACTGAATCTTGCTTTTGCAATCTGTGTTCTGGACAGCAGCCCTCCAAATTTCAGGGATTCTTAAGTGCTTTCTCAACCATTTCTCTTAGCAAAACAATGCCAGTCTTCTGGGCCCAGTTGGCCAGTCCTTTGAATGGCCTGGAACCTTCTCTGGGCCCTTCCCTTTTGTTGGCAGTGCTCCTGAATCAACAGGGAGGGGCTGGGCAGCCCGGCCCCAGAGAGCAAAGTGAGGGGCCGCCTACAACTCCTGGGAGCAGTTTGCAGGTCTGAGGAAAGTTCCTGCCGAGCCTGTTGCTGTCTGCACCCCACCCCCACCTCCTGCGGCTATCCTCGGACCAAGCTCAGGCCTCCAGTTTCCAACCAGGAGGGGTAGGGAAACCTCCTTTTCTGCAACTGCTATCTATGCCCCAGAGGGCCAAAGCAGTGAATTAGGCCTAGACTGGTTCTGCTGCCCTAAGTTCAGGATCCAGGATGCCTGGGGGTGCCCCTGGTGCCTAGTCCTAGCATGTTGCTCTATGTGGCACAACGCTAGAGAGGGCGTCCACATTGTATCCTACGGGATGACACCCCGTGGAGTTGTGCAATGGAGACACCCAGCCAGGGACATCCCCTTCCTTCGAGTTGCAGTTGTTCCCCCAGGCCTGGGTGTTCCCATTTGCTCTCTGATGTCTCTGTGGGTCCTAGAGCCTGGATCTGAGCCAACCTACCAGGCTGGACCTCTGATGCTCAGACCTCCACCCTGTACCACACCAGTCCCCAGGGACCAACTCTAGACTGCACCTGCCTGACTCTGCCACAGCCTAGACGCTGGGTTCACTCCTCGTAATGCCCTACTAAGCCAGGGTACTAACCTTGTTTGCTTTTTTGTTTGTTTGAGACAGGGTCTCACTCTGTCACCCAGGCTGGAGGGCAGTGGCGCACGATCTCAGCTCACTATAGCCTCTGTCTCCTGGATCCAAGCCATCCTCCTGCCTCAGCCTCCCAAGTAGCTGGGAGTGTAGGCATGTGCCACCACATCTGGCTAATTTTTTTGTATTTTTTGCTGTTGTTGTTGAGATGGGGTTTTACCATGTTGCCTAGGCTATTTTCAAATTCCGGGGCTCAAGCAATCCGCCTACCTCAGCCTCTCAAAATGTTGGGATTACAGGTATCAGCCACCAAAGCTGGCAAGAGCAACTGTGAACTGCCCTCTTAGGCCTCTGGGCTCAACCCTGTCAACTCTCCATTCTCTTTTCCCACCACGACAGCCCTATAAAAGTGCCTATCCTGAGTGAAATTCCAAGCATGTTAGAGCAGGATGGCCCCAGAGACCCGCAAGTCTCTGCTCTTCCTTTTGTAAGTGAGAAAACAGGCCCAGAGAAGTAACTTGTTTAAGGCAACACAGCTTATTGCTCTAGGGCCAAGACTAGAATTCAGATCCCCTGAAGTAGTCTTGCTGGGGCTACTTGGGGAGTTTGTGATATTTCAATTACATTATCTTGTAAATTTTCCAGGTCTAGTCCTAGCTGGACTTTGGCACTCAGCAAGGGACTCAAGAGAAATCATGGATTCTCATGCTTTGGGTGCATCAGATGCACCTGGTGAGCTTGCTAGAAATGCAGATTCCTGGCCCTTTTTATGGAGATTCTGACTCACTAGGTCATGGAAAGTTCCCAGGCATTTGCATTTTAGCAAGCCTGGGGGGTAATTCAAGGCAGGTGCAGTTCACTGATCACGACTGGAAAAACACTGCCCTAGATGTCAACCAGGGGCTTCCCCAGTAGCTCCTAGAATAGAGGCAGCATTTATTTTACTGGGTGGGTAGGGCAGGAGAGCTATGAATGGAGACCATTCAAGGTAGGGGCACTCCAGTGTGAAAAAGCCTTCACAGCAACGGCAGAGAAAAGGAGACCAGCCTGGCCATGGCAGAGGGGGCTGGTGGCAGCTGGTGGGTGGGGGAGACGGCAAGGGATGGGGGTGGAGCACGTGACAGTCATCAAACTCGGTTTGGGAGTACGTGTCATGATTTTTAGTTGGATTCGTACTTACTGTGCTCAGGCAAAGTCAATTTTCCAGTGCTCTCTTTATCTTTGTTAATGGCTGGAAGTGTTGTGGTTATTCAACGGCTCCTCAGATCTGATGAAAGCGCTGAGGGCAGAGGGCTGTGTGGAATCAGCAATCCCTTCTGGGAGGAGAGACAAGGAACAGGGCTGCTGCCCAGGGCCATGTCACTGTCATTGAGGAACTCGCACTTTCTCTCCCTCTTCCATGAGCTACTACTACTGTCAGCTCAGCCCTGCTCATTACTGAGTGCCCCTGCATGGCACACTCGGTGCACTCTGTAGGGGCACTGTCTCTTGGCCTCTTCAGAACTGGAGAAGCAGGTACTGTTATTCTCCCCATTTTATAGATGGAAAAAATGAGGCTCTGAGAGACAAAGTGTTTTTTCAAGGGTCAGATGGCCAGTAAATGGCAGAGTTGGGATTCAAACCCAGGTCCACACTCTTAGCCACTATTCCCCACTGCCTACCTCCTGTTCCTGCATCTCCTTAAAGCCTCTAGACTCTGGGTCTGCCCGAAGCTGCCTGGTTAAACTAGAAAGTCTAATTTAGCAATACTTTAGTAGCTTATGACTGAACTCCTGATTGTTAAATTCCAGAAACTGATTTCTCCAGGACCTCTCCTCCCTAGAAAGTAGGTAAAGAGGCCCAGCATGGTGGCTCATGCCTGTAATCCCAGCATTTTGGGAGGCCGATGTGGGTGGATTATGAGGTCAGGAGATAAAGACCACCCTAGCTAACATGGTGAAACCTTGCCTCTACTAAAAATACAAAAGAATTACCCAGGCATGGCGGCAGAGGCTTGTAGTCCCAGCTACTCGGAAGGTTGGGGCAGGAGAATCGCTTGAACCCAGGAGATGGAGGTTGTGGTGAGCTGAGATCACATCACTGCACTCCAGCCTGGGCGACAGAGCGAGACTCCCCATCTCAAAAACAAACAAACAGAAAGAAGGTAAAGAAAGGCGTCCACCCACAACACTGTCCCCAAAGAAATACTGTTTCTTCCTTCTTCTCTCTTGGGAGAATTTGCCAGGGGAGCTGAGTCTGAGGGTAAGAGAGGAAGGAGGACCCCAAAGGCTGCTCAAGCTCTTCCTGCTTCAGGGAGGAGAAGAAAGAGAAGAGGCTTGCTTTCTGCTCTCAGGGCACTTAGGGGCAAAGGGGAGTAATCAGAAGAGGATTTTGGCCGGGTGTGGTGGCTCACATTTGTAATCCCAGCATTTTGGGAGGATGAGGTGGGCACATCACCTGAGGTCAGGAGTTCCAGACCAGCCTGACCAACATGGAGAAACCCCATCTCTACTAAATATACAAAATTACTGGGCATGGTGGCACATGCCTGTAGTCCCAGCTACTCAGGAGGCTGAGGCAGGAGAATCGCTTGAACCCGGGAGGCTGTGGTGAGCTGAGATGGCACCATTGCATTCTAGCCTGGGCAACTAGAGCGAAACTGTCTAAAAAAAAAAGCGGTGGTGGAGGGGGATTTCCCACAGCCTCAAAATGCTAGCGAGATTGTACTTTTGACCTCTCCTTCCTGAGTGAAACTTAACTGTTGATTTACCTGCCACCTCTTTCCAACATGGAGTTGAGATGATGCACATACGTGATGGCATGTGTCCAGATTAAGCCAACAAAAAAATTATAAATGAGGATGAAGAAAGTTGGAGGCAGTAAATATATGGTCTGGAAAGTCTCACACAGCAAGAGATGTGACTGGAAGCATCCTGGGAGCCAAGGCAAAAAGAAAGAAAGCATGCTCCATCCTTAGGCTGGAGAGAGCATTCCAGATTATCTGGGGAGATTGTTCTACCTGACTCTATATTCTGGAATAAATCTCCTGAGGGACTGTACAGAGATACTGAGAGGTGTTGGAAAAATCTTTAGGTGGCTCACAGCCCAACACTGGAGAAGAGCATAGTGGGAGCCCCTCTGGAGGGGACATTGGTCTGTGTGAAGTGGTTCCTGCTGTCAGGGCAATTCGTCCCAGTGTCCGAAGGCCTGATCTTGCTCACACCTGCCCAGCCCACTGAGAGTGAGTATATATAGTTCATGAATTTTTGTTTGGGTTTATTTTCAAGCTCTGTTTTTCAAATGTGTCTGCTAAGTGATGAACTTCCAAGAACCCGTGTTTACAAGGCAAAGAGAAGGTCACCATCATCTCTACTACCAGACTGCCCTGCCACACCCATCTGACAATAGAGAGTTCTAGGGTGAGGCCCCTACTTTCTGGATTTTGGGGGTAATAAACCTCTCCAGCGTTTACTCTTTGGGGTGACCCCAAAGGCACAACCACAGCCAGGAGGGAACACAGCCTGAATGGGAAGTGCTGACTCCCTCTGGCGGGGTTTGGGAACTGCCCCTCAAACCTGTCTGA